TAAAAACCATAATGCATAGACAGAGCCAAGGTAACATAGAAGTTAAAATACTAGACATGGATTGGGGCTTCTCTGTTTCAAGTCCCTACTTGACCATGGAGTTCATGGTGTGACTTTGAATCAGTCACTCATTCTCAGGAAGCTCTGCAGCATATAACTGTTGAGAGAAATAAATTTAGAAAGTGACCTCCAGATTAGCATTTGGAGAATGATGGTGATGATAAAGTGTGGATAATAATATGTATTGCTGAATGATTACTAATACGCGTGGGCTGATGATGGGGAGATTGAGTCCCTTCTCCTTTGCAACATATTCTGTGCTGATCATGAAAGAGATAAAGCATTTTTCCAATAGTCCGCCCGTCTGATGATTTGTCTGTGCATAATTTAAAGGTATCAACTCCATATCATTCTGAGTTATCTAAGGTGAATAGGCTTCTTTTTAAATACAAAGGCTCACATAGAACAGGAAACATAGCAAGCTAATTCAGGGTCAGTCACAAAGAGCTCAATGACGGCGTGCATGCCCACAGAGAGGACTCTGCGTGCCACCTCTGTCACGCGTGCCATAGATTCGCCATCACGGCTATAGACCATCCAACCAAGCACAAGAAATAGATGAACCTTTTGCAAATTGGTTACCTGAAGTGTGCAGGAAACACAGCACTATAGTAACGGTGGACTTTAACTACCCTGAAATCAACTGGGGAACAAAATCTACAGTGAGTGGGAGATCGAACAGGTTCCTGATAAACCTAGCTGAAAATTTTATCCTCCAAAAGATGGAGGAAGGAACTAGAGGGTCAACTATACTGGACTTAATTCTAACTAATAGCGATAACATGGTTGAGAGAGTGAAAGTCATGGGAACTTTGGGAGAGAATGATCATGTCATACTAGAATTCACCATAATGTAGGCACAGATAATGTAGGCACAGATGAGCCTGGTGGCGCGGCAGACTAAAGCATTGTTATTAACATCAGCTGCCTGCAATTACTGCAAGTTCAAATCTCACCAGGCTCAAGGTTGATTCAGCCTTCCATCCTTTCTAAGGTAGGTAAAATGAGGACCCAGATTGTGGGGGCAATAAGCTGACTTTGTATAAAATATACAAAAGTATGAAGGCTATTGCTTAACGCATTGTAAGCCACCCTGAGTCTCTGTAGAAGGGCGGCATATAAATCAAATTAAAAAAAAAACTGAACAAAGTCAGTCTAATGTTTTAGACTTTAAGAGAGCTGACTTCAACAAAATAAGAGAGAGAGTAGGAAGAGTCCATAGATAGAAATCCTAGAGCAGGGATACCCAACTCCCAGGCCACTGCCCACTACTGGGCCATGGCCAATTTGGAACTGGGCCACTTGAGTGTCAGGCTAATGTACGTATGCACACGCAGCCCGACTTGCACGAGAGGCAGGCCATCACACTTGCACTTGAGCAAGTTGAGTTGCACACACATATGCATGTGTGCAAGCCCGTTGCTTGTGCAAGTCAAGCTGCGCCAGTTACCCTCTCCCCCACCCCCAGTGAGGCCGCCAAGCTGTTTAGCCTAATGAAGAGAAGGCTTAGGGGAGACCTGATAGCAATCTTCCAGTACTTGTTGTGACTGTCACAGGGAAGAAGGGGTCACAACCTGTTATCCATAGCATCTGAGGACATGACAAGAAGCAATGGGTTAAAGTTCATCTGAGGGAGATCCAACCTGGAAATAAATGGCCAACCATTTGTACGGGATGGTGTAACTACTCCTGACTTGAATAGGGAGTTGGATTAGAAGACCTCAAAGGTCCCTTACAGCCTTATGATTCTATGATAATACGCGACATAGAGCAAATTTTGACTCCAATCATGTATCTCCCAGATTGCATTTCTTCAAGAGAGTACACACAAACACAGAAACACAAACTCACTCACTCACACACACACACACAGTACTCCCTTGAAGAAATCCCGTATATATGGATTTTGTTTTGGTTTTTTGGTTTTTTTGGAAACTAATTTTTACAGCGATTCTGTGAGGTCAGTTAGCTGAGAAATATCAGCAGAAAGTTAGCTAAGGGAGAGCTTCATGATTAAGTGGGGATTGATCCTGAAATTCTTAAAATCATATCTGCTTCTATGTTTGTTTAATATTGTTGGGTTTCTGGAAGTCATTGCATAGGGATTCAATCACTTCAACTCTTGGCGACTCAATGGATGGTTTCTATGAGTTCTAATTATTTCAGTGAGGCTTTTAAAGAAGAGGCTATTAAGTGGATCACAGATTGATAATCAGCATGGCTTTGGTAGGATGTAATAAAAATTCATCTGAAAAATAATTAAATACAATCTGCAAGCATGGAGATAAGGGTAATCACACATATGTTTCAATATCTAACTCTGCACTTGTGTTGTTTGTAAAGGAAGCTTTTTTTTTTTAAAAAAAAATAAAGCTGTAGTGGGATCTAGCCATTACTAAACTACAGTATTTTACAGTATTTAAATCAGCTCCATGAATGCAGATGAATCATTGGGACATGCACCATTTATTTATTGGTGCCATCACCTTCTCACTCCCTTTCTTTTATTACATAAAATGTGTTGTGAATAAAAACAATTATGAAATAAAATTGCTTGATATCATTAGAAGGCAAAAGGTTCTTGCATATGGCAGTAATAATAAATGAAAGATAAATTATTAGTAAGGTGACTTTTTCGGGTGTCAAAATAATTCTATAGGTTTTGAATCTGTCCATAGTAGAAACAAGTTTGATATATATAATGATATGATTTTAGTTGGGACATATTGTATGCACCAGTAGTGGGTTTCAATTTTGGTCGCTACCGATTCTCTCGTGGGTGCTCGTGCGTGTGTGCGCAATGCTTCTGTGCATGCACAGAGATGTCTGGGTGGGTGGGCGGAGCCTCCCACCGCTGATGCTAGCGGTTCACCTGATCCGGGGAAAACCGGTAGGAATCCACCACTGGTATGCACTTCATTAAAACAGTGGGAAAAACATTGTATTCACTTGATTCTAAGCAAAAGGCCAGTTTGTTCATTGGATAAATATGACATGGTATACTAAGAACAGCTGCTGGGAATATGAGCATAGGGCCTATGGCTTAAAGCAGGGGTGTCAAACTCAATTTCATTGAGGGCCGCATCAGGGCTGTGGTTGACCTTGGGGGCCCAGGCAGGTGTGGCCAACTGGATGGGTATGGCCAACTGGGTGGGCGTGGCCAGCTTGACGTCAATCCCCAAACTGCTGGCATGTTTCCTCTTTGCACTGGGTAGACCGGCCGAAGCTACATTGGCCTGATCTTTCCTCTTTGCATTGGGCAGACCAGGACAGCCCCATGGCCTGGATCTGACCATATTGCGGGCCAGATCCAATCCATGAGCCTTGAATTTGACACCTCTGGCTTAGACACTTAGGAAAAAGTGCAGCTAAAAGACTGTTCTTTAGCATGATTTATTAGAAGTTTTTCTTGTGTATTTTCCATCTAAATTCTCAGTCTCAGTAGTAGTATTTTAAAGATACGCTGTGAAAATCAAGTAAACTCAACAATCAACAACAACAAAAGAGAAAAATCAAATATAGCTACTAAAAGGAGCAAGCTTCTAGAGAGGATGTATAGGCTGGATTGGATCCAGAGTTTAATGACAGTGAAAAATTTATTTAAGTTCATCACCTAATACTGTAGATACCAAGAAATACTTTGAGCTTCTTCATAGAGGTCTGAAATAAAGTACCATTAATATTTATTCTCTGGTTTTCTACAAGCAATGCTGCTCTCTCTGCAAGTCGGTTGATAGCCACATGAAAGAAGACTTTTATCACCTGAAATTAATTTGTCTCTTATACTTTATAGTATGCAAACATTTTGATTCTTTTTACTGTGGTTTTGAGGCTTGTGCAATAGATCATGGCTTTGACTTTTTTGGATTGAAAGTATCAGTTGCTAATTGCATCAGTCTTTTTTATAAGTGGCACTGTTTTTGCTGAAAAGCCTTCTATTATAAAAGGAAGACTATTTGAAGGGTTTTAGTTTGAGTCTACAGATTTCAGACTGTCAAATGAAATGGTTTGCTATCAATTTGTGACAGAAATATCAATGGATTCATCACTTTCATTAAAAGCAGAGTCACATGAGTGTGTTCCAAACTTCTCCCCTTTCATACATGCGTACAGCATTATGATACATGTAAAGGTGCTTGTACCATAACAGTACTATGCTGTTTCCATAGTTTGCCCCCCCCTCTGGATATCTCTGGTTTTGAATTATTTTATACACATTACATTTTACTTTATATACATTACATTTCTTCTAGTATATGTGTTGTATAGTCTAAACGTAATACAGGAAAAGAAAAAAGATATGAGAATACATACAAAAATGTATATAGTTTAGTATGGTATGTTTCCTAATCTTCACAAAATCTGGAGATGCAAAAATGAAAAGGTAATTACATTCAGGTCTGCAGTTAGGTTGGAAGTAGAAATTAGGTTGTGTCATATAAAATGTGACAAAAACAGATTTCTTTCCCAATCCTATTTGTGGCTATATACAAAATGTCCCCTGAATTGATTCAACAGATTTACGTGCATTTGATCTTCAGCTGATTAAATCTGAGTTATGTTGACCTCAAACATCAGTATAATGCATTCTGCTTTGTAGCCACAAGCATATGCCAGAATGCAAAACAGTAACTGGCCCTCACAATGCAAGATGAATCTGTGTGTATTTTCCTTAATTTGAAGAAACAAAAAATAGGTATTTTCAAATGCATAATCTTATTTTTGAAATGATGATGGTCTGTATGAACAAGAACATGACAACTGTCATATTCGTATATTATTATATTATAAATATTTAGTTTAAAAAGAGGATACCCTATCTTTCTTCAAAACAGTCCAAGGAAGCTAAGTTAACTTTAAAAAAAAAAGAAAAGAAAAGCATGACCATTCAGTTCCAACTTTTTACTTTCCTTACGGAATCTATGTTTATGCATGAACAGGATTCCGACATTGATTGGGATGATCTTTGGGATCAATTTGAAGAAAGAAAATATCTGAGTATTCGGAGATGGAAAGGCGGAGAGGATCCATATCGATTGTATGCCTTTAACCAACGGGAGAGTGAACGGATGCCCAGTGACCGTGCCATTCACGATACTAGGCACCACAGGTTTGGTATCCCATTTTCTTAGTTGCATATTGTGCCTTGATTGGTCCTAAGGGTTAAGTCCCTAGGATAGAAACCAGGAGTAAACTGTGAGTTCTAGTCCTGCCTTAGGCATGAAAGCTAGCTGGGTGACCTTGGGCCAATCACTCTGTCATCCCAACTCAACTCACAGGGCTCTAGGTGGGAAAATAGGAGGAGAAGTATTAGGTATGTTCTCTGCTTTGAGTTATTTATAAAAGTAATAAAGGCAGGATAAAAGAAATATTTTTAAAGAGTGATTAGAGAATAGAGGAGTGTGATCAAATCATTCAAGGTGTTACGATTAGAGCATAAAATGAGACTTGTGAAAAATGGAGAAGATGTAGTTGTTAAAAGACGAGACTAGAAACTGGAAGACCATGACTTCTAGTACTGTTTTAGGCATAAAGTCAGCTGGGTGACTTTGGGCCAGTCATTCTCTCTCAGCCATAGGAAAAAGGCAATCACAAGCCACTTCTGAGAATGTTGCCTAGAGAACTGCAGGCAGTTCAGTCCAGGCAGTTAAAGGCCCTTCACTATTCAGCATTGGAAAAACAGCATAGGGTATAGCTCCATCTATTTCACTGAATTGATTACTATCAATTTACAGTTACGCTGTAAGCTGCCCAGAGTAGTTGGATATGAGATGGGTGGCAAATATATTTCATAAATAAGTGAATAAATATAGATTAGCTAGGGATGACTGTAATAAATCATGGCACCAATATATTGATATATGTATATTTGTAAATATATGTCTTATTTTTGTAGCTTTTTTCTCTTTATAAGTTCATATTTTCTTTTTCTTTGATTAGTTTTTGTATTCAGTTAATTTATTTTTTAAAAAATGACTGCTTCAACAGCATAAAAAGAATTTGCAATTAGCTCTATTTTTGGGGTGTTTCTGGTAAATATTGCATAAAGTGAATTTATGCAAGTAAAATTGTCACTTGATGAGTGAATAACATGTCTTTTAGAATATATAAATAAACACAGGTACAATGTAATTAAAAATGTCAGGTTAAACTAAAATTTGCTCTGTCAATATAAAAGTACTCTGTTAATATAAAAGTGGCTTTTAGACAATGCTTATATTGAACCGAATTAGCCATTTTAATGACTATTTTTCTAATTTGGTGAATTTTTTCCCAAGATTCTACTTCTGACCACATCTGACATCAACAGATTGGTTATCTCAGCGTTCATCTAATTCTAGAACATTTATGAAGACCATATCTTAAACATGCATTAATCATTGAAAACACACAAGGGGAAAGCTAATTCTTCATAAAAATATACCACTATTGATCTGTAACAGAAAAAAGTTAGTTAATTGTATCCCTGTTGTTGTCATATTGTCCAAGAGATCAATCTTATTCACATAACATATCTTACCTTAGCTCAATAATTTCTAAGTGTTTTTGTTCTTTGGAATAAATATCATTGGGATTCAGTAATTTTTATTAAAGAGTCTATGAGAATTTCATAATTTGGGAACACTATTTGCCTCAATTCCTCTATACCTTCCCTGAAGATAATGTCAGGGATGGCTTTCTGCTCTATATCTTTTGAATGTAACAAGAGTTTTTTAGAGTAAGTTACAACAAATCATCCTTGTTTTACTGTTTCACTTGAAATGATGTATTTGACTTTTCCAACAAAAAAAAATTAGAGGATGGAAATTGGTAAGGTCTCAGAATGCCATCCTCATATGTAGGGGAAAAAAAAACTATGCTGATTTTTTTTTCTGATTACAATGGTTTATCTATACCATGGGTGCAGTGGTGAGTTTCAACTGGTGTTACAACCGGTTCACTTCACGCACGTGCCAAACATGTGCTCTGCGCAAGCCCATTACATTTCAGAACAGCTGAAGCATGGCAATCCACTCTGCAGTGCCTATCAGCTGGGCTAAAAATGAACGAATATAGGTAGGTATAGCCAGTGGTGGGATTCAGCCAGTTCGCACCTATTTGGTAGAACCAGTTGTTAGCTTTCTAAGCAGTTCAGAGAACTGGTTGTTGGGGAAAAAAATCTTATTTTGTTTTTCCCCACTTTACAGGGCTAATCCTGTAAGGAAGGCAGAAAGTAAACATTCTGGTGTTGTTTCTAGCCTAATCTTTATTGCCCTGCTTACAGAAACTGCCTCTCTGGTTAACCCTTATTACATTGTGACAGCTAAGGCGAAGTGCCCATCGATGTGAGTGACGTTGAGTTGGCCATGCCCACATGGTAACATGACCACTGAGCCACGTCCACCTAGCTGGTCATTAGAGCAGAGAACCGGTTGTTAAATTATTTTAATCCCACCACTGGGTATAGCGCAGGGGCAAGCGGGAGGGCCCAGTTGACAGTTGGGGCGAACTGGTTCGCTCTTAGCTCACCATCGCCACTACTGGTTCGCCTGAACCGGCGTGAACCGGTAGAAACCCACCACTGCATGGGTGTCAAACTGGCGGCATCCGTCATGTGATGTTTTGTTACATATTTCCGTTCGCAGACCTGGGGTGGTCATGGGCTGTGCATGATGCACTTGGCTCATGGACCGCCAGTTTGACACCCCTGATACTGTGTATTTTCTATTTTGCATATTTCCAAATGATTTGAATATCTTTCACCTCTGAATCTGCTGTGTCAATTGTTTCCACACTACTTTTCTTTAAAAGGATCTGATAGCCCTTCTGCTTTGCTTGATCTCCAGAGGCTTGTGAATTGCTCTACATGGTTATGTTTTGACATTAGGAGAATGAACAAAGCATGTGATGTGATTATTTCTTGCTCAGAAAAACCTTCCCAACTTTGGAAATGAAATAACAGTAAACTATTAGGAGGAGACAGATTGACAACATCAAGATGTTTTTCATCAGTGAGTTGCAGGTGACAGTTGTCTCCAACTGCAGGAAAAATATAGTAGCTTTGGAAAGTAAAAACAAAAAATGCCTATTTGGACCCTTGTCTCTACAATATTGTCTTCCAAGTCACAGGTGTTTTAAAAAAACAAATCCAGGTATTTTTCAGTTACTGAGAAAAATCAGCCATTGAGTAGGTTTATACTTTGATTATTTTCCTTAGAGAATATTCAACTGTATTTTTTTTTACTTATAATGTTTGTATACATACTTGGAATACTATTAAGCAGATGTATAAGGTCTTATATACATAGGTGTTCCAATTAGTCTCTTTTTCCTAATGCTTCCTTGAATTCTGTTTGCCCTTTGGATAGCTGAGTTACATCAAGATATATCCAACAAGACGGTCACAATGGAGAAATTCAACAGTTAGCCACAGTTAGCAGTACGTGCAAGACAGCCGCTCAGTTAGAACTCCATCAGTACGGTAGAAATTACTAAATTCTACCACATTTATTTTAAACTGCCATTGCATTAAAGCTCAGAAATCTTTAACAATGCTAGTCTGCTGTAGTCATTATCTTGAATAATTTTGCCTAATCTGCCACTTAGCTACAGTAGCTCTCCGTATTCCTTCTGCATATCAACAATGAATATGTGAAGTACAGTGTCTTTGAACAGAGCACATCAGGGTATCTTGCTGTTTACCACTCAAATTTTGTTAAAAATGAATCATGCTTGCACATTTATGGTCTTTCCTATTGTTCATCCTTGAAAAGCTCTTTCATCTCTGGAACCATGGCTTGTTTCCCCCCTGTAAAAAATAATTGCTCATTTTTTTATTCTAGTGGAATAGAAGAACATCAAGATTGAGGAAAGTGATTCTTATTCTTAAGGTGTGCAAGCCATTGATATATACCTTTGAGCAGTTCTCAAGGAAGAAACACCTCATGCTTCTCTTGTCGGAGCACTGGTGAAGACAAGCTATGATAAAGGTTCAAGATGTGTTAAATTGACTGTGAGCTGGGCAATTTAATTTAATACCTTTCAAGTGTGCTGTCATGTCCTGTAAATTTCATCACTATTTTATAAACATACATAATTTAATCATGATTAAGCACTTTGAATCCATAATATCTTATATTGCATAAATGACAGTATTACCAGGGTGCATACCAGAACCTCATAGCACATCTCATTGACAGATCCTGCTGAGCATTAAAAGTGTTTACGTTTGGCTAAACAGTGCACCCTATTTCCTTTTCTCCAGCTTTATTCCTTAGGAAGGCAGCAATGTTTCTTTTTATTGTAGGCCACATTCAGGAAAGCGTATGAAAATAATTGGTTTGCTTACATTAGTTTAGCTGTCTGAAGGTAAGTCATTATATTAGGTTGAGAAATTGTCTTAAAAGTGGATTAAGAATATTATACTAACATCCATCCCAAAGAGCCTTGCTGGATGACCTTGGATTTGCTGTTAATCTATTAAACAGAAGAGCAGTTAGCAGTGCAACATGGGAAAAACAATAATTTAGACTTTGTGCCTTCTCCCTAAATCTGCAGGCTAAGTTACATGTAGATCTGAGGTTGCTGATGTCTCTCTCTCTTTGTGTGTATCATTTCCCTTACTGTTTTCAATGCACACATATGTATATTATTCCCAGCCATCAAATTATTTCTTTAATGTAGCAGGAAGAGAGGCCCTGGTTTCCATCTCTATTCTGCTACTGCTTTGTACATAGAAGAGTTAAACCTGGATTTTTTCAGATGATAACATTATTCTGACCTACATACTTAGTGCTTGAAATTTGACAACTGGACAGCATAAATGGATTTTCCGTGTTCCTACCATGGTCAAAAGACTGATATTGCAGCATTTAAAAGATTAATTTATGGCTCCTTTCACTCAGTGGATTGAAGACCTGATTGTACTTGCTGCCTTTGAGTGGATTTCCTATGGACATAGACTTTGTATGGATAGGTATGAAATATGGGACTCATTTATACAAAATACAGTAGGTTAAAAATGTGACACATATATAAATATATTAGAAACATATAGCAATAGCACTTAGATTTAGTGCTTTGCAGCTGGGGTCTCCAACCTGTGGGCTGTGGCCTATTTTCGATCGGGCT